CCTGGGCACAGGAGGTCCGAGAGCGTTGAGACTCCGTTTAGACGCCTCAGTTAATAATGCATCAAGGAATGGTTCGTGGAACTTGCCATCGGCAAGATCTCAACGAGTTGAGACTCTCCAAATCACCTTGACGTCCCTAACACCTCCTTCTCCTGCTGCTGGTGCGGATCGCTACTTATGGATTCAAGCCAATGGAGATTTTGGGAACACATTCTCCTCTAGGGTCACATGGGATCAGATTCTACTTCCTCTCCGGTTATCTACTGGCACTCGGTGGTATGGTTTAAAGAGCAAGTTCCGAGAAGCTCTTTTTTCGTGTGGCTAGCCCTTCTCCGACGTCTCCCAACCCGGGACAGACTGAGGAGATGGGGAATGAACGTATCGGAGGATTGTGTCCTCTGTTCTTCGGGTCGCGAGACGCATCATCACCTCTTCTTCGAGTGTCCCTACTCAGCCACAGTTTGGGGTCAGCTAGCGGCTAGGATCTGGCCAAACCCTCCCTCAGACATTCACTCTGCTGCAGCGTGGATCTCACTCAACCGGCATCGTCAGAACTCTCAAGCTCAGACGGTTAGCAAGCTTCTTCTCCAATCGGCGGTCTACCTTATCTGGCGAGAGAGGAATGCGAGAATCTTCACCGGAAAGGCGACTCCGGCAACTACGTTGAGAGTCTCTATTGACCGGCTCATGCGTGACAGGCTGCTTTCTTTCCCGTCTCAGAGTGTTTTCCGCTCCTCTCTGTTGGAATTCTACTTCTTCTGCTTCAGGCCTCCTTGATGCTCCTGGTCTGGTTTTTATTTAGCTCTTTCTCTTTGGTTCCTTGTTTTGGGTTGTAGTGTTTCTTTTATCGCTGTAATAAGTTGCTTGCAACATTGTAAACTCTTGAAAATGGTATGAAATCTTAACATGATTATCAAAAAAAAAAAAAAAAAAAAAAAAAAAAAAAGAAAAAGAAAAGAAAAGAAAGTTAAGAGGAAATAATTTGTTCAATAATTGAAGCCAACCTAAAGACAAAACATTTTATTTAATATTAAATTTCCGGGCAAGTGCATGCACATGACGGTAAAATGTACTTATCAACAAATACAGGGTGGACTTCACTTCATGTTGTTTCTGATATAAAAACCTGAAAATATAAAAGCTAATTGCTTTGTTTCACAGAAAAAGGTAATTACTTTAGTTCTTTTAGCTAAAGCTAAAAAGGGTTAATTAAAGGAAAAAACTCCCCACTTATGCAAATCCGAAGGCGACAAGAGAAGAATCAAATGGCCAAGAGTGAGTGCTTTCAACAACCCAATTTTTAGAAAATGCAATCTAAATATGACATAAAGTGTACATTCATCTTTCTTTTTCGTCAGAAATCTTTGTATCACATTTTAGGTTACAAACAAAACAAATTGTGGGGTTTATTACACATCCAAAATGTAACGGGTACATATCAATATCTATAAACGCTACAAAATCGTATCAATTACCAACGTAAAAGCACTTCAAAAATCCAAAATAATATACATCATCCATCGTTTTTCGTAATAGCCGGTCATAAACTAAAATTTTTTAACGATTTAGTACCCTTTATAGTCGTTCCGTGTGGAATATGTTTAAATTTTAACTTCGATTCCTTCGATCATCGAACCCGATTAATATATATCTCTTGGACTTGGAGAAAGACATCGTGTAGAATTTAACTTGCATCTCCACACCATTTGAGCTTAGGAATGTATCCAGTATAAAGCAATTAAAGTCTCATTTCCCATTAAATATGTTTTTGTCATTCGTCTAGAAGCATGGAAGTGTGAAAGCCGCCGAAGTTGACTTTGAATGAATGAGAGGTCTGCAGTGTTAAGTCGGTCCGCAACACCACGTTATATCACAAAGATAAGGCATCTCCAAATCCCCACAGATTTTGAGGTCCCATTTCCACCACACGTGTAATCTTTTTTTTTTTTTTTTTTTCTCTTCATAATTGTCCTATATGATACCTAAGCAAAATGATAATCATGAATATACATACTTTTCAAACAGAAAAAAATCCAAACTGAAAATCAAAATAAATTTAGAGAGCAAAAATGAAATTGGTTATATCGACCTCTACAATATCTTTTAAAATAAAAAAAATTCATTGTTATTTTTTTTTTTTTTTTTTGACGACAAACGACTATTCTATTACTCAAACTCGAGTTGGTGTGGTTACCCACCCCGGAACAGAATAACCAACAAAAGATAAGGACCTAGGGTACAACCTAGCAAGCTTAGCCAGATGATCAGCTTTACTAGTTGAAGCACGAGGGAGATACGAAATAGAGAAGGAGGAGAAAAGTTTTCGTAGACTACTGAACTCCTGCAACTCCGTTGAGAACTTTGGCCAGTCCTCTGGTTTCTCGATCATCTTTAAGACGTCTTGGCAGTCAGTTGCAAAGGCTTGAACGTTGGTATACTGCGCTGCACATTCCATAGCCCACATTAATGCTTCTAATTCTGCATGAAGAGGGGAGATGCG